TGGGATTACAGGCGTGAGCCACTGCCCCCGGCCGAGGGCAGCTGTCATTCTAAAGAGGTTCCTTTGGTAGGGGCTCTGGTGATTTGACCTGGAGGAAATGAGGAGGGAGTGAAGCCTTTGCCTGGGAGAAGAGTGACCAGCAAGAGCAAAGTATTGGCAAGTGAATGAAAATAGAGCCCTGCTGGTCCCAGGCTGAGGGAACTCAGAGGCCAGGGCACCCTGGTGAGGTGGAGTTGGGAGAGGCTGTGGTGGGTGTCAGGTTCCTCTCCCCAGCTACCCAGGATAGGGCCTTGCCTTCTGCTTTCTTTTTTTTGTTTTTGTTTTTTTTTTTGGACGGAGTCTCGCTTTGTCCCCCAGGCTGGAGTGCAGTGGCGCGATCTCGGCTCACTGCAAGCTCCGCCTCCCAGGTTCATGCCATTCTCCTGCCTCAGCCTTCCGAGTAGCTGAGACTACAGGCGCCCGCCACCACACCAGGCCAATTTTTTGTATTTTTAGTGGAGACGGGGTTTCACCGTGTTAGCCATGTTGGTCTCGATCTCCTGAACTCGTGACCTGCCCGCCTCTGCCTCCTCAAATGCTGGGATTATAGGTGTGAGCCACCGCACCGGCAGCATTCTGCTTTCTAGTACTTCCCAGCGTCCCTGGTGCAAGTGATCCTCCCGCCTAGGACTCCCAAAGTGCTGGGATTACAGGCATGAGCCACCATGCCCTGCCAGGGTACTTAAATTCTTTTTTTTTTTTTTCAAGACGGAGTCTTGCTCTGTTGCCCAGGCTGGAGTGCAGTGGCCGATCTCAGCTCATTGCAACCTCCGCCTCCTGGGTTCAAGCGATTCTCCTGACCCAGCCACCCGAGTAGCTGAGATTCCAGGCACATGCCACCATGCCCGACTAATTTTTGTATTTTTAGTAGAGACGGGGTTTCACCATGTTGTTCGGGCTGGTCTCAAACTCGACCTTGTGATCTGCCTGCCTCAGCAGCCCAAGTGCTGGGATTACAGGTG